TGTCTTACTATTTGTGTGTTGTATCTTTTTTTGGCAGTACTAGGTTTTGAACTCTGGCTTCACGCTTGCTAGGCAGGTGTTCTACCACTTGAGCCACTCCACCAGACCTGACTGTTTGTAATTATACCTATTACTTCATAGCACATGCATACCACACTTAACTAAATGGAAATGGAACTGAGTCATGTGCTGAGTTACATGCTGGTCCTCTACCCCTGCCCCTTCACTCTATGGAAGTCTGTTGGTGAAGCCTTTGTACCAGCTGCCTGATGTGGGATTCTATATAATCAATGACCCAGTTCAAGAATCCAGGGATTTGTGTGTGTCACACCTATGGTCAGCTGTAAGATCTATTTTTTCTCACTTCTCTATCTTCAAAAAGATGATAATATTCTGATCCTAAATGAAATCAGGCTTAAAAATTATGCTCAGAGATGAGTAAATACAAACCCAATTATATGAGACTGAAGATTAGATTTTGCGTTATCTTCTTGTAGTTCTCAATTTGTGGTTCTAAAGCTGATCAGTCAAGTTGTCATCAGTGGGTGACGCACACTGCAGGTTCTAGTCACCACTTTTTTGTACTCCAGTGATATTTGCATTTTTTTTGTAGTACCTGTTAGCTGTTGTTTTAAGTAAATATTTGAGAATGCTCAGTTGAAGAGAGTCTGCAAATGAAATGTCCAGTGTGTAGTGCCTTTCTCCTTAAAAAGCCTGGTGGGAATATGGCTTTGGTATGGTACTGTGGTCCAGTTTACATATGAAAACTTGCATGACAAATGGGCAACATATCCGCAAGCAATGGCTGGGTGTTCTGAAATCTTAAATTAGGTAGAAAGAAGTTTTATCATGACCTAGCTCCAAGTCTGTGGTCTTGCAAGGCCCTTGCACACATAAGGTCCGGAGCCCTGGACCAGGGCTTCTTTTAACACTAGAGAACTCTTTCTCTTCTGCTAAGCAAGAATCTCATGTGTCTCCCCAACCTTGGGTTTGGTCTATGGCTCTCCAGGGGGGGGAATAGTCTATCTTCTGATGATCCTGACCAGTCCAGGGGTTTATTTGTATGATTTTCATATTGAAAAGAAAATTGAACGTACTAATAAATACTAGAAAATGTGATCTGAACGCTTTAGAGTATAAGTTGAAGCTTGCTAGTAACTACATCTGACCTGCTTCACTAAGTTTGGATAAAAATATGGTCACCTGCTTTTATTTCTTCAATTAATTATTTGGGCTCCCCTTCTCTAATTATTAGGGTTCTCACGATCTCCTTTTTGAAATCTCTCCATCAGAATTGCGTAAGTTTCTTGAGCATTTGCCCAGTTGAGAGGGAGCCAAAAAAGAAACTAAGTCTGAGGGATCTACCACTGCTGTTGCTTCTTGCTGTCAGTTGGTGTTGCTGTTGAAAACACATCCTGTACAGTTAGTTCAGTGGTAACAGGACCTACCTCACAGAGTGGTTGTACAAATTAAATGAGGAAATGCAGTCAACATGCTTAGTATATAGATATGGATACATAGCACTAAGTATGTACCCAAAGATTTATCTATTGCATTATGTTACTGGGCCCTGATTTTAGGTCCTATGTAGGGCCTAGACCAGAGTATCCCTGGAAACATTCTGGCCTTGGCAAATGGTGAGCAACAGGTGAGGTCCTTGGTCCCTTGTAGTTGCTAGGTAATCTGGAGATTGGGTTGGCCCAGTCTTTGCCCATCCCAGGAGCCTCTGGCTATCTTCCCCCAATTGTTCTGAGGTTGGTCTGACTCTTTTATGTGGAGGAGGCAGAACTTGGGTAGCATAGACTTCCTCATCAATCAAGTGATTTGTTTTGGCCCAGAGAAGGAGGACTTTCGAAAAGTTGTAGTCTGGGGTGTTCAGACTGAAAAGAAACATTGCTTCAAGTCACAGGGCTTGTTGGTGCTGGCCAGGTGCTAAGTAGGCCTTGCTGAATATACACCCTAACTCTCAACCCAAGGGCTGTTTTGCCTTGCTTTCAAAGTCAATGTTCTAGAAAGTGAGACTGAGGCTCATTTATTTTATCATTCTCCCCATTCCAAGCACAGAAATGCCCCCTTTCCCCATCAACTGCTGTCAAAGATATTCACGTGTGCATACGTGCACTTGTGCACTTAGGACTCCTCTCTGCTCTCCATGTCCATTTTTCCTACTTCTAGGCCATAGTAATTAACACCAGCTTGCACAGTACACATAACCCTTTTCTTCACCTTTGAGTAACCATCGCTGCTTTACAAATGTCTCTATCTCCGCTTTACACCCTCTAGAATACACCTTTCTTGGAAAATGGCAACACCTTGTATCTTTAATAAACCTTGTGACTAGCAAATAAAAGATGTCCAAATAGTAATTTATTTTAGACCTTGTGAAAATGATTCACTGTCCATGACTTTCCTTGCCATAGCTGTTGGGCCCTAGGGTGGGCACCCAAGCCAACTCTAGTTGAACCTGGTTGTGGCCTACTTTGAGTAGATGAGCTTGGTCCATCAGATTCTGCCTTAGGAAATTTTTTATGGGTGTTGGTAGGTGAGCACTATACCACTGAGCCACACTCCCAGTCCTGCCTTAGGAATTTGAGCCGGGAAACATGGAAAAAAGTTGTAAGTTAGGTAGGAGCAGGAGGTGAGGCTGAAAGTTTCAATCAAAAGTTGTGAAGTAGGGTTGGTGGAGTGGCTCAAGTGGTAGAGCACCTGCCTATTAAGCGTGGGGGCCCAAGTTCAAACCCCAGTACTGCCAAGGGTTGTTAAATGAGCATTGTGAAGGGGGCTAAGAAGGCCGTGATGAGTTATATTTAAATTGAAGTCGCGGGGAGGGGAAGGCGAGCAGAGACTTCACTGCGGTGGGAGGATGGGAGGGTAAATGGGGGTGGGGTAGAAACAATTGCAAGCAGAGAACAGCCAGGTTGGTGCCAACCATTTGGCACTCTGGGGCCACACTTCATCCCTTCCCCCTTTTTCCTTAATTGTGTGCCAGGGTAGCGTTAAAAACAAATCCTTTAAACCTTGAGCTAACTTTATTTTATATTAATGATCACTACATTTGGGGGACAGGGGAGGTACTAGGGCTTGAACCCAGGGCCTTGCACATGGGAGGCAAGGACTCTATCACTTGAGCTATGCCCCCAATCCTTTTGTTTGTATTCTGTTTTTCAGACAGACTGGCCTTAAATTTCAGATCCTCCTTCCTCCACATCCTAGTATCTGGAATTATAGGTGTGAACCACCACACCCAGCATTGAGTTAACCTTAGTCAGGGTCAGTTTCTTTTAACCAGAATGGCAAAATTAAAATACATACTCAGTAAGTGCTGCGACCCTGGTTTTCTGAGCACAGAGTTTCAGCTCTTGTCACAGCACTCCTTTGCCACATTACAAATGCTGCTCTGGTTTGTCAGAGTCCATGAGTTCACTTGAATGTATCTGAGCGAGAACCCATAATAGATTCGAGTTTCTTGAATCCTGTCCCAAGTCTTGGTTGGTTCAAGAGTCCTGAAAGAGAGGGTGGGGGCTAAGAAAGTCTCAAGCAACTGGAAGGTGTCCAAACAAAATAGGAGCAGGACTTCCTCTTCCAGGGTAGAAGGTGCTGGAATGGGGGAAGGGGATGGAGGCAGAGTAAGGCTCATTTCTTGTCTGTGCAGAGAGCAAGGACTCTTCAAGTTCAGTGGCTGAATGGCCAGGTGTGGTGGTTCATGCCTGTAATCTCAGCACTTGGGAGGCTGAGTCAGGAGGATCACGAGTTTTGGGCCAGCCTGGGCTACATAGCAAGATCCTATTACCAGATAAACAACAGAAAAAGCTGCCACTGGCCTTATTCCCACTTTTAGCCTCAGATTCTAAGACAGTGCCTGACACATATTTGAATGAATGAATGATTGAATAAATGGGTGGTGGAAGAGGGTCACAGTCCCTGTTCAAGTGTCTGCATCCTTCTTCAGTGGAATCTTCCCAAGTTAAGGAACACCTGTCTCCATCTCTAAGAAATAAGTCATGCAGCACTGTGAGGAATGTTTACAGTGACTAGTCAACTTTAGCTTTAAAAATCCCAAAGATGGTGCAGCGGTGACTGCAGTAATGACATAGCTCAAAGACTGCAAATGGGCAACTCTGAGTCGGATTTGCCCTGTTTACAAAATTACCACCCGCTTTGTCTTCCTCTGTCTGGAGAGAGTGAGGTTTTCATTTTAAGAGGCTGACTAAAAAAATGCAGGGCCACTTCCTGGGCAGGCTTCCAAGTGACTACATCTTTCTCACAGCGTTCCCCAGAGCCCCAGCCCAAGCTGCCTGGGGCGGGGCCTCCAGCCATTGGTGGCTGGTAAAGCCACCACAGTAACAGTTATCTGCAGCCCGCCACAATGCTGTGCTTTTAGGCCCTTCCTGGGCACGGATGACGGCGTTGGCCTTTGTACTGAAGAGACGTCAGAGTTTGTGATTGGCTGTGCTCGGGTGTGTGTGTGTGACATACAGGAGATGTCGTGCCACGCTCCTGAGTGTGATGCTCCTTTCAGCCGAGTACCCCGGGCGTGGGTGAGTCTAAATGTTTGAAGACTGCCCTCATTGGTGGGGAAATGCTCAAAGCTGGGCACTATGACTCCCCAAGGGCATGACTTAGCGTGTTTCTTAACACTGTGGGGCCTCAGTTGCCTTTTCTGTGCAATAGGCATAGTATTATCCTGTCCTATAGAAGGACAGAAGTAGATTTCCAACACAGGGTGTTGTGAGGCCTAAAAGAGATAATGGACCCAGAGTACCTCCCCTGGTACCTGGCAAAGCTCTTAGGATTGCTGAAGCATCAGTTGAAACAGGGGTGGGGGAAGGCTTGGTGACCAAGCTGTGCCTTTATGCCTAGCAGTATCCTATTTTCCAGAGACCCAGCAGATCCGTTTTCCTTCTTAATCATACCTTAACCAACAGAAAGAAAACTTCAGGGGAAGACAGTGCTGAAGGAAAATTTGCCAGACTGGATTTCCCTGCTCTTTTCCCTTCCAGACGCTGACGGCACCAGCTCCCTTTGCAGAGGAGTCCAGCTGCCTGTGTCAAGCACCCCATGAAAAGCTGACCATTGCTCAGGCCCGCTTAGGAACGCCAGGTGAGCTGCCCTTCTTCTTCCCCCCATGTGGCCCCTGTCTGGACATTTGAAGGACCCAAGAGACCTGTCATTATTTGAGCAGCACTCACTTTCAATCAGAGCTGAATTTAGAGATTCTAGCACAGTGCAAGAAGGGCGGGCATTAACAGCCATCAGCTAGACCAACCAATGTAGCCAACGAAGAGACGGAGCAGAAGACAGGAGTTGGAGCCCGACAGCTTGGGGCAAGTCATGAGAGATCTGAGTCATGTGCTCATGTGTAAAACGGGCAACAACAGGGGGTGGGGGGGAGAAATGACCCAAACAACGTATGTACACGTGAATGAATAAATAAATAAATAAAACGGGCAACAACACCTGCTCCATGACGTTTTTGTGACAGCTAGATTCAGTTAAAATACCAAGTATTTTTTTTTTGGCAGTACTGGGTTTGAACTCAGGGCCTCATGCTTGCTAGGCAGGAGCTTCAGTTATTTTTCAGTTAGGGTCTTGTGTTTTTTGCCTAGGACTGGCCTGGATCATGATTATCCAACCTATGCCTCCCACCTAGCTGGTATTGCAGGTACACACCACCACACCTGTTGGTTGAGATGAGTCTCTAACTTTTTGCCCGTGCTGGCCTTGAACTCAATACTTCTGATCTCTTCCTCCTGAGTAGCTGGGATTTTAGGTGTGCACTACCACATCTGACCCCAAAGCATTCTTTAAACCACGAAGGCTTTTATGAATATAAGCTACTGTAATTATTTTTATTCTTAAAAGTGCACAAAAAAAGTTTCAAGTGTGCTTTAAAAAACCTGGGCTCTGCTACTGAAGTTTGTCTGTTGTTTCCTTCCTTTAGCTTATACCAGAGATTTAAAGAGGAGGGGACTATAAAGTACTATTTCTCTTTCCCAAGGGTTTTCACAATAATTAAAGAGACAAGACAATTGATTAGACATGAAATAAAAACCAAAACCAGCATGCATGCACATGCAGCACAGAAGGCAAGGGAAGATTCAGATGGAAAGGTATTCCGGGAGGGTGGAACAGAAATGGTGAAGGAAGGCACAGAGATAGAACTGTGTGTCATTCCAGTTGATTGGGATGGAGTGAAAAATAAAAGACTAGTTGGGTAATAAGGTATGAGCATTTATGACAACATAACTCAGTGGTTTCCACTTGCCAATGTAAATAACCCAAACTTAAAGGAATCCATGGAACAGAAAGTTTACTTAATAATAATGGATACTTACTAAGTGATTGTTATATAATAAGGTCTTCTGGGTTTTTTTTTTTTTTTTTTTTTTTGGCAGTGCTTAGGTTTGAACTCAAGAACTCACGTTTGCTAAGCAGGTGCTCTACTACTTGAACCACTCTGCCAGCTCTTTTTTGTGTTGGGTATTTTCAACATAGGGTCTCTTGAAGTATTGCCCAGGGCTGGCTTCGAACCGTGATCTTCCTGATTGCTGCCTCCTGAGTAGCTAGGATTACAGGAATGAGCCACCGGCGCCCAGCATACTAAGGTCTTTATACGTATCATGTCATTTCACTATCAGAACTCAATGTGGTCAGTGCTTTCAGTGTTTCACAGATGAGGAAATGAAGGCTTAGAGAAGTTGTGTCATGCTTGAGGTCATTCAGCTTCCACATGAGCTTGCCTCAGAATCACCTGCAGGCCTTGTTGACACAGATGGCCAGGCCCCACTTCTAGAGTTTCTGATTCTGCCCAAATGAGGTGGGGCCCAAGAAGTTGCATCTCCACAGATCACACTTGGAGAGCAAGTGCTAAGAGGGAAAGCTGGGGTTGGCTCTCCAACTTGTTTGTGTTCAAGCTGCGCCTCTTAACCATAACAGTCTGCTTCAGAAGAGAAGTAAGGAGGAGGGCGGGCAGGGTTTTTTCATGAACTGCTTTTGAGGAAGGTAGCAAAAAGCCTGGAAGGAACTCAGAACATTTGTTTCCAGATGTTAGTGTGTGAAGAATCACCTGGTAAGATTGTTAAAGAAGTTTATAACCTGTTCTGCTTCCCCACCCTTAAATCAGGGATGGGGCCTGGCCGTCTGCATTTTTTAATAGCAACCTAGACGATTCTGAAGATGGTAGTCTAGAGACCTCACACCAAGAAATAGTGACCCAAAAATAAGTCCAAAGGATGCCAGATGAAAGTTCAGGTATATGTTAGTCAGCTGTCTGTTGCTATGACAAAATACGTGAGTTAAACAAGTGAGAAGAAGGAAAGATGCATTTTGACTCATGTTTTCAGAGGTTTCAGTCTATGGTCACTTGGCACTGTCACTTTGGGCATATGGTGAGGCTGAATATCATGGCAGGGAGTGCATGGTGGAGAATTATTGTGGCCAGGAAGTGAGAAAAACTGAAAGTGCCAGGGTCTCAATACCTCCCTGCAGGTGTCCCTTTCTCCTTTTGTCTTTTATTACCATGAGATTTATTTGTTGAAAAGAAGAGACCAGATTCCGTTTTTTTGGGTTTTTTTTTTATTTTTTTGGTTTGATTTTGGTCCTGTAGAGTTTTCCCACAATCTGGAAATTGCTGACACATTGCAATTTTAAAAAGTGAGCTTATTGCAAAATCAACTCTGCAAATTTACTAAATGGCCCTTTTCTCAGTAATTATGTTTTCTTTCTATACTTTTCTTTCCCCTCCTTGTTTCCTGAATTCATTTAGCCTGATCACCTCTGAATCCTTAACAAAAAGTTTTACAAAACTGCCATCTGCTTTCTCGTAGGGTTTATATCTTAAAACAAATTTTCCTCAATTGAATTCAAATTGAATAAGAGCATTGAAACCCAGGATTCCTCATTAGACAGTTTGTTATTTCAAAGTATATTCTGTTTACTGTGCCTTATTTAGAATAAAGTAGTATAATACTGTGAAGGCAATTCTGTTTGTTCAAAGTAGTGTCTAACTGAAAATAGTTGCAGTTCTTATTCACACATACAGTCTCTAGTTTTTTTATTAGAGAAATTTAATTTATTAGAAATATTCTACCATCTGATTCTATTAATGTAATATTTCTTTATGTTCTAAATTAATGATGTTGAATTACATCTAGAAGTAATCACTGTTTTAAATCTAAGTCCTAAAGATCATTTAACAGACATTTGCACTGATTTCTTTCTTTTTAAAAAATGCACTTTTTTATGGTGCTGGAGATCGAACCCAGGGCTTTCTGCATACTAAGCAGGCACTCTACCACTGAGCTACAGCCTCAGTCCCTCCAATATTTATTTTTATGGCATTAGTATAATAAATGCATCTATTTTAAAAAGTCAGTAAGACTCTTAGGTTTATAAAGAGAACCAATGATCCCTTTCTCTTCCTGGCCCAACCCTAATTCTTTTTTTGTCCATTCTTATTAGGATATATTGGTGTACAGGGAGGATTCATTGTGACAATTCTGAATAGTCTTATATTATACATTGATTAGATCACCCCCACGATCTCCCCTCCTCGATCCCCTCCCCACCCCACTTAAAGCAATTGCAAGAGATTTCATCATTCGCTCTATTTGGTACATGTGTATGAAACCTATCAACCATTTTTTTCTCTTACCTTCTTTTCCTCCATTCACTCTCCCAAACCCTAATTTTTGTCCCCTGTAGGCAACTTGATAATCAGCTTTCCAAAATGTCATTGAGCTCTCATCCATTGTCGCTCTCTTCCTTGTTTTCTCTAGCACTGAGGGAAATTATACTTTTAAAACTCTTTTTTTGGTAATTTTTGTGGATTAAATGTGTATGTTCAGTTTAACTGGTAGCCCTCCTACTTTTTTATACTTTATTTTTATTTTTTGCTAACACATAACAATTGTACATACCTACGAGGGATCACATGATGTTTTGATTCATGTATACATGGGGTAATTATCAAATCAAGGTACTTAGTAAAAATAGTGATAACCAGAGACTTGGGAGAGTAGGAAGAGGAGGGAGCCCCCTTCTCTTGTTGTTTGACAGGTAGAAAGCTGAAGTTAGATAGGAAGAATAAGTTCTCATATTCCTTCCTTTTTTTGAGACAGGGTCTTGCTATGTAGCCCAGGTTAGCCTCAAACTCTCTATCCTCTTGCCTGAGTAATTGGAACTAAAAGTACACATCACCACACCCGACTCCTTATATTCCATTTTAAATGCACACTGTTGTGGCCACCTAGGTCTCTTTCCTTCTTTTCCAAGCAAGAATGAACTATCTCTATGTTGCCTGTAACCATGGAGAAGAGGTGACAGATGTACTCAGGACAAGAACACTTTGATATGAGAAACTACTTCTTTCTTCCACCATTCATTTTTGGGTCCCTTTCTTGGATATTCACTTCCTAGTTCCTTTGTTGAGATCAAGGAAACTTCCTTTGTTGAGATCACAGAAAACTTTCAACAAGTGTGACAAGCACCTTCCAGAGAGATAGGATGGGGATCAGGATAGAGCAACCACCCCTTGCCTCCCATTTTGTGACTTGCTTAATCTACCAAATTGATGGAACCCTATCCCCCAAACTCTCTCCTTTGATTTTAAGGGGATGGGTATCCTGCAGGACTGTGAAGGGCTAAGGTGTTTGTAGCTCATTTCTGACCAGACACCACCCCTATATGCAACATTCACATACCGACTTGCCCCACTTTCTAGCATGTGACCCTCCTCTTTTACCATACCAAAAAGGTTAGAGTGACCTTGTGCAGTAGCGTGCTGGTAAATGTTTAACAACTGGCCATCCAGGGGGGAATAAGTCCAGATTTGTAGCACTTGCCAATTTCTGTGGTGTAAACGCTCCTACCATGGCTCACTCACTCCAGCTACCAGTGAGACTTGAAGTTGGGAAGAAAAGTGTGCACTATCTGTTTGAACAGTATGAGTAGATTCCATACGTCACTGCCTTTGAGAACAGGATTTGGGGGTCCTCATCCAGGACTGCCAGACTCAAGGATGAAGTCATTTGTCATTTTCATTGAGCTCCTCAGTTCCTTGTGCCTTGATGTCCCTGCCAGGCTGACTCTGCCGGCTCAGATATCTGGATTCCACTGGGGTTAAGAGAACTCCCCAGTGCTCTGTGTTTGTCTTCTCTGTTGGCTAATACTGTGTGTTCTGGTTGGATCTTAATTTTGTTTTTGTTCTGCTTTGCTGTCTTTAGAAGAACCTGTTTCTAAAATCAATTTCATGTACTGATGCAAAACCGATGGTACATAGAGATTGTATCTTGTCCGGGGCAACTTTCTCATGACGCTCTCATGGAAGGTGACTGAGCTTCCTTATTCTGCAGTTGTGTTAACAGTGCTGTCTTTCCTCCACAGTTGACAGGCCTGTCAGAGTCTATGCAGATGGAATATTTGACCTTTTTCACTCGGGTCACGCAAGGGCACTTATGCAAGCAAAAACACTGTTTCCCAACAGCTACTTGTTGGTAGGAGGTAAGAAGTGTATTTTTTTTTGTTCAAAAAACTCCTTATGCTTCTTGAAAAGGACCCCTTTCAGACTTCCATCAGTAATGGCATTGGTTAATATTTCTAAGTCAGCCCATTCTGCCTGAAATTTAAAATGACATTTAAAAAACCATCGTGAGATTGGTTACCACTGATCCTCGAGAGAGACAGACTAATAATGCCAGCAAGGGTAACTGCTTCATACTTTCCATGAGTGCCTTCTTCCTGGTATTTGAGGCATGATCCAATTTATGTATTTAAGTTTTTCTAGAGGGTCAAGAAAAAAAGCAATATTATTCTGATTTCAAATCTTGGAGACCTAACAGAGTTTAGGATGATTGAGGGCAAACAAGATAGTGTCTTACCTTTTGTGTGTGACCTACATTACTTAGGACACTTATTCTGCTCACAGTAGTGGCTCAAGATAGCGCTAATTTATTGAATTTATGTGCAGCGTGTTAAAGAAATGGAAATTTATATACCTTAGGCAATCTTGGTTCACAATGAAGGGACTGGCTTACTTCCTAAGCTTATGGAAAGCAAAGGATGGTTCTGTGTGGATTGAAATTTTCCTCCTCCAAAAGACCTATTTCAGTTTGGCTAAAAGGGGTAGTACCTGACTGGGCAGACCTGCTTCTCCCTTCTGGAAGCAGCATATCCATTCAGCGTGATCAATTTTTGTGTCACTATTTGAAATAGGCACTATCAACCTTCAGACCTCTACTATGAGAAAAAACCCCATAAAGGTAAGAAACTGTGTATCTGTTTTTTAAAGTATTTTGTTATCTTCTACAAGTTAAAACTATTTTGGGGTATTTCAGAGGAACCCCTCTGCAGAGGGGTGGTGACCATGTGACTTTTGAAAGGAGTTCTTTCAGAAGGAGTGATAGTGAAGGGCAATGATTACTGGGCAAGTCATGTAGAAGGAACACAGAGCAGGCAGAGAGCTTGACCCTTGTTGGTTTCCCTTTGTCCTGAGTGGAAAACTGTTTCCTGAGTGAGCACTGCCACCTGGAGTCTGCTCATCTACTCCTAGGTTACGGGGGCCCTAGGAAGATGTCTGCAGTGTTGGTGTTTGGTCGTTTCGGTGACCTGAGTTTGGAGGTGGTTTGGTATGGGTCATAGTTAACTATGTACCCCTGAAGTTTTCAACTTTCATACTTGTCCACACTAAGCCCAGCAATTTATCCATTTAAGTTGTCATACTCAGGAGTGGGTTCCCTCAGAAGTTTCTGCTTGTGAGTTTCTGCTGTCTGTCTGTCTGTCTCTCCAATTTTAGGGTCAGCAATTTGCCCCGTGACCTAATTTCTCTTTGAAGAGTTGTTGACCTTTCAGTTTTCTCCTTTTTTATTTGTTTTTAGAATGGAGTAGTGATGCCTAAGCTCATTACATGCCAGACCAGAAACCGGAAGTCAAATATTAACATTTTAAAACAAAATTGTTGGGCTGGGACATGGAGAAGTGGCTCAAGGGATAGAGTGCCTGCCCAGCAAGTGTGGAGGCCCTGAGTTCAAACCCCAGTACCGGAAAACAAAACAAAATTGTTACCTAATGACTTAAATGTATGCACTGGCATCTAAATACTGTAACACTTTGAAGTACACTGCCACACATTTATGAAATACACAACAAGCTCTTCTTAACTTTTAAATATTTTACACATTTCCTTTTTTCCCCAAACTCTTTCTCTCCTAGAATTTTTTCCTAATGTGATGCATAGTGCAAATCTTTTAGTGATTGCTCTATCATGCTTCTCTGAAGCAAAAATATGTGTTTAAATTAGTACACAACTAACCAAAGTACCACATTGTACATTTTGATAACTAATTGCTAAATATAAACATAAGTTTGATTAGCAGTGTATCTCCTAATGAGGTGAATGGGATATCATTTATTTAAAATAATTTATTATCATTGTCATCACAAATAATTTTAATGGTTTATCAAGTGACAGTTTGTTAAGATCCTCCTTCAAATTTGTTGCAAGCAATGGGTTGGAAATAACCTGACCTGCAGAAGGATTTGTTACCACGCTATTAGAATCATTTACTCTCTTCCTATTTGGGAATTATAACAAAAGGCTAGATCAAGACTTATCAAATGACTCTTAATTATAACCTTTACTCTTTTACTTGAAAGCAACTTATTCAACCAGATATAGGCAGAAAGGGTTGGGGAAATGGAAATATTAGTAAATGTTGCATTACACCATTACCAATCCAATAATTTTTTTTAAATGCTTTTATCATTTGCTTGAAACCCTTTTTGAAAAACAAAATGCCAGGGATGCTGTTTTAGCTTACTAAATCTGCAGAACATACCTACTAATCTAATTGGCAAAACCAGTCCTCATTGTTAAATTTACTAAAAACCTAGAAATCAAGAAAATGTTCTTTTAATTCAAATGTATTCATGTATTTCAAGAAGCTTTAAAAAATACAGAGAAATAAATTATGGAATGGATTATATAAAATAGAATCAGTCAAGATTAAAGTAATATAGATCTAATAAAATAAATTATGAATAAGACAGTAAATCAATGTACTATTCATAGTTATGTGATATAATTTATAGGTAAAATTGTATGGTATTTATAAGAAGAAAAGTATGATTAAAAAAAGGAATGTTATTATGTTATTTCTTTTTAAAATATTAGTATTATGTATATGTGTGTGTAGCAAGTTCTAGTGTTTGACCTTTGGGAATAATTATATAAAATAAAATATAAAAATCTTAATTATCTTTATTAGACACCATGATTAAAATTTCCCAGTGCACATAAAGATAGAAAGAGGCATATACTACTAAAAAGTAATTGCTCTGGAAGTAGGTAATCTTATTTTTTGTTATGAAGAAGTAGAAAATAAACATTTCAGAAGAGGAAATTGAATAAGGACTATCTGTAAATGGAATATTTTATAATGTGAGTTTATAAAATAGATTTTTAACTTCCTTTTAAAATAATGCATATAAAATTTGAAAAAATTATGTAAATGTTTTACCTTTGCATTTATTCCAGTGTATCTTTAAAATTTAATAATTCCAGAAAATATTCCAGTTACATTTCTGAGAAGCAGCAGTGCCAGCCTATACAGCTTTGGGTTATTAAAGTGATTTTGAAGTGAATAGCTTGAAAAAAATGCTTACTCTTAACTACAAGAGAAAAGCCATTTTTAGGATTCAATATGAGTGTTGAGAATAGCTAGAAAAATGCTTACCCTTAACTACATGAAAAAGCCATTTTTAGCATTCAATATTTCTTTCCAATACTCCTTTTGCTTTGAGTTCCTGGGCCTTGTCCGTAAAGAGCCATGTGTTCTCTGATAATAGTTGGGAGAAGAGGAGGCAAAATTGTTAGACCAAAATTTGCATCATTCTCCATTCTACTATATTTCGTTTCTAACGCTGGACTTCACCTATAACAGAAATGTGTATATGACAGGGAAAGATGGGAAACTTTTACAGGCTTGCTTTGAATGGTCATTAAATGAGGTTTTCATTTGGTTTGGTCACTGCTTGAAATGCAACATAGTAAGGTTTAGATGGCACTTCTCTTTTGTAAAGTGGGATAAGAGTGGTTTTGGATATACAGACATTCTCTGACCCATTACTTTTAGGGGAAGAGGTACTTTTAGAATTTGAGGCCTGAACATTGATTTCTTTAAAACTCTCTGTGCTTGGATATCTCCTGAAGTCTTTGCATGCCCTTGAGGAGATCTTTGTGTTAGATTATCTTTTCAGAATATCACAAACCAACTTAATGGCATATAATTCTATACTGAGGAAAGTTAGGGAGCCCTTGGAATAGTTATTCTGTCTTGTTGGTGGAAAGGCTGGCTCTTGATATTACATGTATAGTTAACAAAAATGCTTGTGGTGAGTTGACAGAGCCTGCCATATTAATCGTAGTTCCCTTAACATCTACAGGTAGGTTCACAGTCAGAATTCTCTTGGGTGGAACAAAAACTTCACTCACAAATCCACTGTCATTGAGGCAAGTACACGGACAGGTGTTTGGTAGAAATACTTGATGTTTAGCAGAAATAATTCAATAAAAGACCAGAAACTTGGATAACTGGAGGTACCAAAGTCTACTTCTCAACCTTAGGCCATAACAGACACCACAACTTCATGACTTTGCACTATGACTGTAATGCCTGGATTTATAAGTTTTGAAAGCATGTAGTCAATAATGATTGGAAAACTTTCTATGCAAGCTTATCTTGTTGGCAGTATTTTAGTGCATCAAGACTATTTGCTTATAGTGTACTTTTTAATTTAAAAGCACATGTCATTTAAAGGCAGGTAAAAATATTAAAGTTTATAGCAGAGAGTTTTTTCCCCCCTGAAAGTATTTTTAAAGGAGGGAGAGGGGGGGATGAAGAATGGTGGGAGGGGAATTCAAGTATGATATATTTGATATATTGTAAGAACCTTTGTAAATTCCATAATGTACCGCCTCCCAGGACAACAATTAAAAAAAGTTAGAAAAAAGGGTAACAACCATCAAACACCCAATTCTGTCTTATAGAAAGGGAATAAAAATAAGATCAATAAACAAACCACTGCTACTACTACTGTAGTAGGTATAAATATTACTCTACAAACTTGGGTTTATGATTTATTGTATTTTAATTGAAATTAAGTATTCCTCTATGGCTGAGAGTGTAGCTCAGTGGTACAGTGTTTGCTTGGTATGCATGAGGCCCTGAGTTCAAACACCTGTACCACAAAAAAACATAAAACAAACCAAAAACCTATTCCTCTGAGACTCTGTTTTGTGTGGCTGGTGGAAAACTCAACCTGGTCCTCATTGGGCTCTTCAAAATGTTTGCAAAATAAGAGACGGGCTTCTAAGTTTTCAACCCAGTGACATTTTGGCACTTGCCTCATTGTCCAAGTCCACATAATTACTAGCAGAGAGATGGCTCCCTGGTGCCTAGGGACTCATGTCCTCATCCCTCTTGAGGCTCTGCTGCTGGCCCCTGCTGCTTTGGAGCCCTACAGATGTTTGGCCTTTGCTCACTATTTGGTGGAGTCTTCTCTTTTGTTATCTTCTTCCTTACAGAATCCCGCAAGGAGCTCTGGCTTTGGAAAAACAGCAGCCAGGAAGGCAGGCTGTCTACCAGCAACTTGAGCTTCACCACTTCTGCAAGGAATTTGTAGGAGTTGGGGCAGGAAAAGAGAGCACAAAACCCAAAGGAATAGTTCCATCAGTGGTCGCCCATTGCTAGTACTATTAACAAATGGTTAACATTAGGGGGCATTACTCTCTGCTCATATGGATTATCAAGTTTATCAAAACATCACCGTATTTTAAAGACCAGGAAACTGAGGCTGGAAGAGTTTGAGTAATGTTCTCAGTGATAAAGACCAGAGCTGGGATTAGAATCCAAGTCTGTTGGGCTCCAAAGTTTGACTTCTATTTTTTCTCTCCTGCAGGCTATTTCATTTTGAGCACAGTAAGCTGTCAGGATAGGTTAGCTGCAGCATAAGCTCCCAGAGAGCTCAATGAATGCATCCATGGAATACCACTGCTCTGACTTCTCCATCTGGTTGTCAGAGCGCATTTGCCAAGCAAGGCCCAAGAACAACAGTGCTGCTTTAGGCGTAATTAATGTTTAGACAATAACTGGTCAGCATGTTCAGCTGCTTCTTGAGGTCACTCCTGGGATATGAAAATAGAGCCCTGTAGTGGCACAAACAGGATGTTTGTTTTCTTTGTGGTCTGTCAGGAGGCCATTATCTCAGTCAAGTAGAAGTTCCACCAAATTGCTCAGGTGCAGATTCAAAAAGGGGGGGCTGGGATAATGCCCAGCCTAGTTTTGTGTTGTTCAAAATAGAAAATTGGTGGATCTGAAATCCATTTCTGCTCAGTATGGTTCTTGATGCAGTCTTTTTAATGAAGTCCTAAAGAACATCTAGAAAGTTCTAGATCAGTTTTTAAATTGTATAGTATGGTCCATACATAATTCCTATTTATGGAGTCAAATGCTGATACAATCAGGGAATCGATACATAGTCATTATGACTTTACTACCTGCTTTCCCTCTCTCCCTCCTGCCTCTAGCCATGATGGATGACTCAAAGGCAGGCAGGTCTCTTTACTCAAGTTGTTCATAATAAGGCCTCCGGGGTTTAGCAAATGTTGTCAGCATCAGAATCCTGCATGAAGCCTGCTAAAAACAGCTGCCGGGGCTCCACTGCAGACCCACCAAATCAAAGCTCAAGGAGCAAAGCCCAGATGTCTTCATATTTAACAAGCTCTTTAGATGATTCTAATACTCATCAAAGTTTTTGAGCCAGCCACATGGTTGATGTTTTGGTAACATTAATTGCTACAGTAGAAAAGGTGTAAATATCACAATGAAACCCCTTTGTACAATTAATTTATGCTAATAAAAATTTTAAAAAAGGAAGGTCTCAGAAAGTATTTATAGGCAATATAATATATATAATATATAATATAATAAATATAGATACATTTGTATCTAGAGATTCATTAGTTCTTATGTGCATGTATGTTGTTGAAATGTACCTGTCGATAAATATATACCTATTATTTTAATGATAATCAACATTATTAGATGACGTAAGGAGTGGGCAGAGGTATAGGTCTAATAGGTGCCCATAGACCATTGGCTTTTACTCTGAGAGAGATGGAAAGGGTTCTGAATCTGGGAAGGACACATGTGACAGGTTTTAATGCTTGATGAAAATAGGTTGTTGGGAATGAGCAAGGCTCCACCCAGTTAGGAGACCACCGCAGTAATGCAAAGGAGACACAGAGAGTGGGCGGGATGGGGGCAGTGGAGGTGGTGAGAACGTGGCTTCTACATGTACTTAAAATATTTATTTTTTTAATACTTATATGCTATATAATGACATTGTAGTCAATGACAGACTACATATATGACAGTGATCCTGTAAGATTATAATGGACCTAAAAAATCCCTCTGGTAGCCAGCATAACATGACAGCTCCAATGCATTCCTCAGGTGTTTGTGGTGCTGCTAGTGTAAATAAACCTACTGTGTTGCCACTCATATAAAAGTATAGGCCATCTTAGTAAAAAGTGTAGCATATACAATTATGTACAGTCCATGTACAGATATGATATGAAACAACTGTATTCCTGGTTTATGCATTTGCTATATTATACTGTTGATTGTTAATTTAGAGCATACTCCCACTTATTAAATCAAAAGTTACTGTAAACAGTACAACAGCAGCTGCCTCATTCATGTCTTGATTGCATCAAGAGGCCATGTTGAGTGATTGACCTGTACCTTCTAGGCCTTTGTAAGGGCACTCTAGAATATTCGCACAGTGATGAAATCAAAATGCATTTCTTAGAACTTATCCCTGTTATTTTATGACACATGACAATCATTAACAAAAAAATAATTGTGTATATTTATGGGGTAAAATGTGATGTTTTGAGCTATCTAATGCATTACAGAAAGATTCAATCACGCTAATTAACATATCTATCACTTCACCAAATTATCTGTTTTTTGTGGTGACAATGTTCAAAGTCTATTTTAGCAATTTTAAAGTATATAATACATTATTGTTAACTATGGTCACCATGCAGGACACTAGGTCATTAAAACTTATCCCACCAGTCTAACTAAAGCTTTAATAAGGAGCACAAAACCCAAAGGAATATTTTCACAAGTGATCTCCTTTCTCCTTTGAAGGCAGAGCCAGCAATTTAGCTGATGATTTGGATGTGGAGCATGTGAAGGAGCCATAAAAGGAGATTTTCCAAGGACGCTGAGTGTGGCCGTTGTCTCCATCTTCTCTATGGCCTGATTTGGTTCTGGTGTGGAACAAGATTTGGTTCTAGGAAAATTATCATATTTTTGTTTGGAAACCACATCTTACATCCTAAATGAGAGAATTTATTGTGTTTACATAATACTTTAAAGAAAAAAATTTCATTGCAAGTTGCAGAGAGGGCAGTTCTGACCTGCTGCAGCAAGACCTCGACTGCATCTTGGTAAACAAGGACTGTACCCATAATGTCGTGCCTTCCTGCCATATAAGAAACATCAGGAAGTTTCCTAGCCAACCTTTTTAAAAGATAGGATAGTGAATCATATTTTCATTCCATTTCTTTTAAAGCCCTTTTATATAAATCCTCAAAAAATCCTTCCTAAGGGCAGTAGTGAAGGATCTCACTATTTCCATTTGAGGGTTCAGGAACCTGAGATCCAGAAAGGAAGGATAAGTGATATGGGAAGGGTAAACTCTGCCAGATGATTGTGTGGACTGAGGTGTAGTGAGTACAATTATCTAGTAAAAGAATTGGGACCAATTGGTCAAACCTTCTATAAATCAGGCCTCTTAGCTTCTCTTCTCTCTCTCTCTCTCTCTCTCTCTCTCTCTCTCTCTCTCTCCCTCTCTCTCCTTTGTTCATCTGGTCATTTCAGGTTTGATTAGTAATTTTCACTGAAGGGTGGTATAGGGAGATAAAAAGATATGAAAATCACATTAGATAGTGTGGAGAATAATTTTAATAAAAGACTCAGTAGAGAATGCAGTTGTAATTAGCATTAAGACGAAATTCTAAAGTCCCAGTGGATTTAAGTTTGCCTCACTCTGGATTCTTTGTTCCTATTAAAAAAGAAAAAAACTAAGTTCTATTATACCAAGCACCTAGCAAGGCTCTGCTCCTTTTGTTGAAGAAGCTGCATCCACACCAGGGTGGCTGATACCAGCGCTTAACCCTTTTGCTTGCTTCAGTTTGCAGTGATGACCTTACCCACAAGTTCAAAGGTTTTACTGTGATGAATGAAGCAGAGAGATATGAGGCTCTCAGACACTGTCGCTATGTGGACGAAGTCATCCGAGATGCTCCATGGACTCTCACACCAGAGTTTCTGGAAAAACACAAGGTACTTTTCTCATTCTCCCACATTCTCTAAGTAGCAAGATTAGGGAGTCTGGCTCTGCAGCTGAGACTGCAGAAAGTCCAAAGACTTCCAATTTCTAAAAGAGGTAACACCAGGAGCTGTCATATGGCATCACTTGATGTAGCAGCTTTCTTCTGCCCAATCCTGGGGAGCACTATCTTCTCCTTTCCGTAAGTGTAAGTGCCTCTCTCTTTTCTTAAGTATGGGACCTTGAGCAAGATATATAACCACACTGGACTCACTTACCTCATCTGCAAAAAGGGATGATACTGGTATCTTCCTTATGGGCCACTTGGAGGATCTCATGAAATAATCTAAGTAAAGGACTTGGAAAACTGGCTGGCTCAAGAGCTCCAAGAATGTCATCATTACTGCCATCATTGTTGGTGCTCATAGATTCACAGGCCTCCTTTTGCATGGAACAAATGAACACACATCTTATCCAGAAGGTCAGGGGCCAGGCTTTAAGGGAAGAACTTTATATCTGTGATTTTGTGACCCTGACATTCCTACTGACATAAGATTTTTATTAGTTGAAAACATGAGAAATTCTTTTGATCTGCATCAAATTATGTGCTTTGTATCTCCCTACCAGCCCCACATTAGGAGCTATTCTTCCCTTTTATAAGCAGTACAAAAAAATAAGATTAAGCTGTTCTAAGAATTTTCTTTTCTATTTTTAAATTCGCAATGCAGAAGAGAATAGAGAACACTGACAAATGTGCATGGGTAATAGCAGAGGAGACAATTTCCTGGTGAGAATAAAAAGAAAAAGGGAAAACTACAATATGATTTACTTCCAGTATTCACTAACATTTTTTTTTACTAAGCATCTATTGTATAGTCAACATGTGACAGGCATTTTGGAGGCTACTAAAAATGATAATGACAGATGCCATTTATTATTTACCATGTGCCTAGCACAGAGCCAAGGACTTTGCTATTCTATGAATCGAATTCAATCTCATGGCTACTCTGAGAAGTTGTTATTATTACACACTGGAGAGGAGGAACTAAGTTTGAGTACTGAGAATAGAATTAAGAATAATATTTATTGAGTACTTGCCATGTACCAATTATTATTTCTAAGCACTGTTACATAATTATATCTTTTTATCCAGAGAGTTTGCCCTGCAAGGGACATTTGGTTACATCTGGAGACATTTTTGGTTGTATAGCTAGAGGGTGCTACTGGCATCCAGCAGGTAGAAGCATGGGTGCTGCTAACAGTCTCCAATGCACAGACAGCGCCCCCCCCCCCGCAAAAAAATCTATCTAGTCCCCAATGTCACTGGTTCTAAGTTGGAAAATCCTGACTGAATCCTCCCACTAACTTACGAATTATGCAGCTAGTAAGTGGTGGGGCAGGAATCATACTGGCAAATTTAGCTACTACTATAAACTACCCCTCAAGGTGGAGTAAAGCCTCATTATAAAAGATTTTTAAAGCTGTGCAAGGAAGGGCTGGGATGTAACTCAGTGGTAGAGTACTTGCCTAGCATGTGCAGGACCCTGGATTTAATCCCCAGCACTGGAAAAGAAAAAGAAAAAGAAAGCAAGCTGTGCAAGGAGCCTTTGCTTGATATAATAGGAAACAGGGATGAAGATTAGCAGGTATGAGGAAGACCAGAAGAAAACTTTGTTTAAGGAGGACACACCACATGATGGCTTGGAAAGGAGAGAGCGCACAGTGAGGAAGCCCAGATCAAGTTGGTGTCAATAATCCAGGTGATAGAGGAAACAGATTTGAAGCCACACAACTATAACCAACTTATCTTTGACAAAGGCACTAAAAACGTATGATGGAGAAATGACAGCCTCTTCAACAAAAACTGCTGGGAAAACTGGTTAGCAGTCTGCAAAAAACTGAAACTACATCCATGTATATCACCCTATACCAATATTAACTCAAAATGGATCAAGGATCTTAATATCAGACCCCAAACTCTAAAGATGGTACAGGAAAGAGTAGGGAATACTCTGGAATTAATAGGTATAGGCAAGAACTTTTTCAATGGAACCCCAGCAGCACAGCAACTAAGAGATAGCATAGATAAATGGGACTTCATAAAACTAAAAAGCTTCTGCTCAACAAAAGAAATGGTCTCTAAACTGAAGAGACCACCCACAGAGTGGGAGAAAATATTTGCCAGCTACACATCAGACAAAGGACTGATAACCAGAATCTATAGGGAACTTAAAAAACTAGATTTTCCCAAAATTAATGAACCAATAAAGAAATGGGCAAGTGAACTAAACAGAACTTTCTCAAAAGAAGAAATTCAAATGGCCAAAAAACACATGAAAAAATGCTCACCATCTCTAGCAATAAAGGAAATGCAAATTAAAACCACACTAAGATTCCACCTCACCCCTGTTAGAATAGCCTTCATTACACTGCTGGTGGGAATGTAAACTAGTACAACCACTCTGGAAAAAAATTTGGAGGCTACTTAAAAAGCTAAACATTGATCTACCATATGACCCAGCAATACCACTCTTGGGGATATACCCAAAAGAAGTGACACAGATTACTCCAGAGGCACCTGCACACCCATGTTTATTGCAGCACTATTCACAATAGCCAAGTTATGGAAACAGCTAAGATGCCCCACTACTGACAAATGGATTAAGAACATGTGGTATTTATACACAATGGAATTTTATGCAGCCATGAAGAAGAATGAAATGTTATCATGCGCTGGTAAATGGATGGAATTGGAGAACATCATTCTGAGTGAGGTTAGCTTGGCCCAAAAGACCAAAAATCATATATTCTCCCTCATATGCAGATATTAGATCAAGGGCAAACACAACAAGGGGATTGGACTTTGATCACATGATAAAGCGAGAGCACACAAGAGAGGTATGAGGATAGGTAAGACACCTAAAAAACTAGATAGCATTTGTTGCCCTCATCGCAGAGAAACTAAAGCAGATACTTTAAAGCAACTGAGGTCAATAGGAGAAGGGGACCAGGAACTAGAGAAAAGGTTAGTTCAAGAAGAATTAACTTAGAAGGTAACACACATGTACAGGAAAGCAATGCATGTCAACTCCCTGTATAACTATTTTTATCTCAACTAGCCAAAACCCTTGGTCCTTCCTATTATTGCTTATACTCTCTCTTCAACAAAATTAGAGATAAGGGCAAAATAATTTCTGCTGGGTAGCGAGGGGTTGGAGGGTAAGGGGGGTTAAGGGAGGGGACGGGGGAAGGGGGGAGAAGTGACCCAAACATTGTATGCACATATGAATAAAAGAAAAATTTTTTAAAAATTCAGGTGATAAGGCCCTGAGGTTGGTATAGGGGCAATGGAGAGGGAAGTGATGGACATGTACATACGCAAATGCATGTATGTATGCACATACACCCATCCACCAATGGAACCTGTGACGTATGTACTATGGAGAATGAAGGAAGTAGGGAAAGAAGGTCAATCCCAAGGTTTTGGTTTAGGTAAACTGAGAAAATGGGGGTGCCATTGGAAGGAGGCACCAGTTTTCAGGAAAAGGGAATTAAATTCAGGACAGGTTGATTTTAAAGTGTCAGCAAGAAGTGGCAAGAAAAGAGGACTGCAGTGGGAGTTAAGAGAGTCTGGCCTGGTTCCTGGCTGCCCACACCCATTTCCAACCCAGTAGCAAGCTGTGTGACTTTGGGCAAAACTAACAAGCTGTCTAGTTTTATTACTTTATGTCCTAACTGAAGTAGTACTATGTGCCTGCCCTACCTACGTGACAAGATTATGAGGATCAAATAAGAAAAGATACAAATTTGTTTTCACAATAGATACTCTGACCTAAGTGTTAGGGGTATTGATTGCCATGGGACAGGAAATGGAGATTTGAGTTCCTTATCCAGCAAGGGTACTGAAAATCTGAGAAAGAATTGAGTTCTATGAATGAGAAAGTTAGAGGCAGACAAACAGAAAGCCAAGAAAATCTACTATCAGAAGTAGAAAGACTAGCAAAGGAGAGGAACCAAACATTGTTGTTCTAGTTCCCATGATCTCCTGGAAATTGGAAGGAACTGTTGAAATACTTTTCAGTCAAGGACTCGATCCACACAATAAATGTAATGTACAACTGCTTTATTTCAAAAAGACATTTTGGGGTCACTAGTCCCCTCCAAATCTGCAGCCGTGCACCTCCAACCCAGTGATGACGTCACTCTTCTCTCTTTTCAACAGATTGACTTTGTGGCTCATGATGACATTCCATATTCCTCCGCTGGTTCTGATGATGTTTATAAGCACATAAAGGAAGCAGGTGAGGCATTTTCCTGTCCACTACACTACACCACACCACATAATCAGGTGTAAGAAGAGGCACCTGCCCTTGGATTACAGCATATCTGGTCAGAGCAATGGAATTTCAGGTGTCTGCCCAGCACCTTCTACAAGCCTCTGTTGACATGTGTTAAGGCTCCATCATGGCCCACATATCATCTAGGTATTTCCATAGGAATTCATCTGAGCACCAAAGTACTCAACCTTGGGTCTGAGGCCCGATTTTAGGGCTCATAAGACTCAAATCACAGAATGAATAAAATTTCCCCTTTGTTAATTCCAGTTCTTCCCCACTCCTGAGCTGATAGTAAAACATTCTGTGTCCTGAGTCTGCTTGGCCTCTGATTCTTAATAACTTAGGGAACATTTCTGGGATGTACCCTTTTGGTGCTTCATTTTATTAACTCTTCTTTTTCCAATGAGCCTTCAAAAGAGCCTATTTTAGAGGTCAAAGCCTGAACAGTTTCCTGTATTCTCAGCCACATCTACCTCCCATTGAAATGATGGAGGTCTTAGTGTCAGTGGTGACAGGGCATTGGGACAGATGTGGTCCCCCAAAATGAAGAGGACATTAGGTAATAGTTCAGGAAATCATTCTGTTACACAAAATGTACTTTTTCTTCCCAATGGGGTTGGGGATACTCCATGTCATCCCTCAGTAGGAACGGTAGTCAGGTCTATACTTTCATCTTTGCAAGGGCTCCCTCAGGAGTCAGGGGCACTGGATAAGAACAGGAGGCCTGCCACTCTTTAGTCCTGGTCTTTCTTGTAAGCAGTTTCAGGAAAGGAAAGCCCATAAACTTCAGACTTGGAAGGCTGCTGGGGAGCTGTAAGACGTGGTATGGGGAGAGTGGACAAGAAACTGGCTGATGTGTGCATGAGTTACATCAAGATAGGTTATAGCACAGGGAGCCCAGCTATGAGCCATTTGTTCCTTCCCTAACATTGCTATGGTATAGATCATTGCTTTTCAAACTTAAATGTGCTTACTTATTATCTGCAGGATCTTGTGAAAGTTCAGAATTGGATTCAGTAGGTCTTTTCTTTCCTTCCTTCCTTTTTGCAGGGCTGGAATCGAACCCAGGGCCTTGTACTTGCCAGGCAAGTGTTCTGCCACTGAGCTATAGCCCCAGCCTTGAGATTCCCATTCCCAGTGAGCTCCGAGGTTGCTCGATGCTACAGGTCCGTAGACTTTATTTAGAGCAACAGGGATCTAGACCAGGGGTTGAGGTCCTGCTGAGTGGTTAACTAAATCACTATTTTCTGGGATGTGAGTTCCCCAGCTACATTGTAATATAGAAACAAGCATTTGACATGGTTTTCTTTCAGAGTGAGTGGCCTCTAGTGAGCAAAGAATAAGTTGCTTTCCTGATTTTAGGAAATAAAATGTCAAGTTCTAGCTGTCTAGGCTTAGGAACAAGTCCATCATTTTCCTAACTCTACCACTCCAACATCCCTATTGTTGCATAGACGTAGATGATGTCCAAAGTTAGTGATCTGAGAAAGCTATTTATTTTACTCATGATTTGTGGGGCAGGATCTTAACAGGGGTCTTGTCTGGGTGCTTCTTGCTTAGGCCTTCCAAGAACTGTAGTCAGATGCTGGCAGAGGCCACAGTCATCTGAAGGCTTGACTAGGCTGGGGCTCCCAGACTGTGCACTGAGTGACTGGCCTTGAATGTTGGCTGTAAACAAGGAGTTCAGTTGTGTTGGTCACTGGGGCACCTACACATGACCTCTCCATGTTGCTTGGGCTTCTCACAGCATGGCAGCTAAGAGAGACTATCTAGAGAGCAATCAACCTTGACAGAGTCCACCTAGCCTGAGAAGTCACACAGTGTAACTTATATGACATTCTACTTAGTACAGTAAGTCACTAAGCCCAGCCCAAACTCAAGTGGAAGGGAATTATGACCATCTTTAATCACCACAATTCCCTTTTTCTGGGAGTACAGGCCTAAAGTCCTAAGAATGTCGGTATGTGACTTTTCGTGTGCACGAGGACCCTTCCTTGGTTCATTAATCATGAACCAGGGAGAGTCACGGTACAGATCTATCTGGGGCTGAGACAGAGAAGGCCAGACATCACTGAAGGGACAAAGATGCCCATAAATGGCCCGAGTACCCGCTTTTGCTCTAATACTCTAACTGTGGTTTATTTTGAAAGTCAATGATCACTTTAAACAAAACCAGAGATATTAAGGGTGTGAATTAAGTTTTACCACACTTTTCTCTGCTTCTCAGAACTACATGTCAAAATCCTCTAGCAAAGCTGGGTGAAGAGATGTAGCTGAGATTAGATAGACTGGAAGGTCCACATTCCTCATCATCATTCTAACATTGACTACTACTGTTGAAAGTTTCTTCATTAACATGTGCTGCGCTGCTTCTTAAAATAGCTCTATAACCAAACGCTACAATTCTGAAAAGCATGATAAAAAAGGGTCTCTGATCAGGCTCATTACTGAATATTTTTAGCAGAGCGATAATTAGGATTTGGAGGAAGCCGGGTGCCTCATTGTGTCAGCAGAGGGCTTGGCTTCTTTCAGAAACCTACCTCTCAACCAGCCAAAGCAAATCTCCCAACTCCAAATCCACTTTCAGTCACTCAACTCCAGTCCTCACCCCTGACTTCAAAGGAAAGCTAAGCTCATGTCACCAGTGTCAAAGAACTTGCTAAAATCCTTTGGTAGCTGGAGAATCTTCACATCTCATCAGGCAGGGGGTAGGGGATGAAATATCTGCCTACTAAAAGATAGGATGGATTTCTTACCAGAAAATTCCCTGCTGCTCCACCAAGGTAGGGAAGTCATGCCAGCTCCTCCTGCCCTGCTTGAGTTTAGATGTTTGCACCCTCCATTTAGTATTTTGTGTTTGCTTCCACTCTCCTGGAAACTGTAATTTTCTGACTTGATAACAAACCCCAGCTCTGTCCTTGAGCCATGAAACATTAGCAACTGGATGCTCTGTCTCTAATATTAGTAACACCACCCCCCTGCTGACACCATGAACGGACAGATGAAATCAAAAGAAAGTTCCAAAGGGACACACTAGTTGAGGCTGCAAGACTGAAAAGTGCAGAGAGAACTGGATTTGGAAGAGCTCTCAATACTCATCTAGTTATTCATTCAACAAATATTCCCATCGTGCCTACTTGTCACCTAGTGCTAAGGATATAGAGGAGGACAAGAAGGGCACATTCCCTTTCCTCATGTGGCTTAGAGTCAGGTAGGAAAGATGGTTACTGATCAACTTGTTCTATAAAGATTTTGCAGTATTTGAAAGAAAAGAGCAGTGGCCCATGGGAGTGAATAACAAACAGAATGACCTGGCTTGAGATTTCCTTAAGGAAGTGATACTAAAGCTGAAACCCAGTGGATGACCAAGTGTTAGCCAAGAAGAGATCGTGTCTGTGACACAGGGAGAAAGAGTCAACAATTTTAGGACACCAAAGAAGTCCAATGTGGCTGGGTTGGGCAGGCTCAGCCTGTTGTCCAGCTCCACAGAATACAAGAAGAAACCCTGCAGGCATGTGGCATGGGGGCCTGGTTTGCGGAGTAAAGGGAGGAGGGCTCATGATGAGAGCAGAAAGAAACACAGGGAAGAGACCATGCAAGCTGCTGCAGAGCCAAGTGAAAGATTTGCCTCTAAACTCAGAGGACGATAGAAAGCCAGTGAAGGGCACTGAGCAGCCATCTGACTTGCATCTTCAAAACATCACTCTGTGGATCTTGCTATGTGGGTTGAAGTGAGCAAAAATATCACTGAAGCCCATAGCTCAGTGGCAGAACGATAGCCTAGAATGTGTAAGGCCTGAGACTTGATCCCGGTACCACACACACACACACACTTTGAATAAGATGGCATAGGATTGGTTGAGGGAAGAGGATGAATAAAGTGGGTGAATTAGGGAAATATTTTTTTGGTGGTACTGGGGTTTGAACTCAGGACCTAATGCTTGCTAGGCAGGCACTCTACCACTTGAGCCATACCCCCAACCCTTTTTACTTTAATTATTATTATTATTACTATTATTATTGATGGTTCAAAGCTTTAAAAAATTTTTTTATTCTTTACACTTTGTTCTTTTTCTGGCAAGATATTTGCACAAATCCTTCATCATTTCTTTCTTTTTTTTTCATTTATTCATATGTGTGTACATTGTTTGGGTCATTTCTCCCCCCCTCCCCCCCCACCCCTTCCGCTCCCCTATCCCCCCTCGCTTCCAGGCAGAAACTATTCTGCCCTTATCTCTAATTTTGTTGGAGAGAAGACATAGCATAATAAGAAAGACATAGCATTTTTGCTAATTGAGATAAGGATAGCTATACAGAAAGAGTCCTAGCATTGCTTCCATGCACAAGTGTGTTACATTCTAAGTTGATTCATCTCTAACTGACCTTTTCTCTAGTTCTTGATCCCCTTCTCCTATTGGCCTCAGTTGCTTTAAAGTTTCTGCATTAGTTCCTTTGCATTGAGGACATCAAATACTATCATGTTTTTTGGGTGTCTTACCTATCCTCATACCTCCCTTGTGTGCTCTCGCTTTATCATGTGCTCAAAGTCCAATCCCCTTGTTGTGTTTGCCCTTGATCTAATGTCCACATATGAGGGAGAACATATGATTTTTGGTCTTCTGGGCCAGGCTAACCTCACTCAGGATGATGTTCTCCAGTTCCATCCATTTACTTGTGAATGATAAGATTTCATTCTTCTTCATGGCTGAGTAAAATTGCATTGTGTATAAATACCACATTTTCTTAATCCATTTGTCAATAGTGGGGCATCTTGGTTGTTTCCATAACTTGGCTATTGTGAATAGCGCTGCAATAAACATGGGTGGGCAGGTTCCTCTGGAGTAAGCTATGTCGCATTCTTTTGGGTATATCCCCAAGAGTGGTATTCCTGGATCATATGGCAGATTTAAGTTTAGTTTTTAAAGAAGTCTCCAGTTTTTTTCCAGAGTGGTTGTACTAGTTTG